CTGGAACCTACGTATTTTATTTCTCCTTGCATAGCCCAGGTGCAAGAGCCGACCTAGTATGGAACGGATCTGTTGTAGCTAATATGTTTATCAAAGATGATCAGGCATCCCAATTGGTGATTCTGAATATTAAAAAATAGATAAATACAGAATTCCTAAAGAAAGCCCAACACGGCAAAATTGAAAATTTTGCAGGCTCGGTTTGATTGAGCCTGTTCATGGACGGTACTGGAAAGTGCAAGTTACCGTCCACGCCCCCTAGCACCGGCTTGAGCAGAATTCAACATTTAAACATGAAATAGTAAAATTTTGAATTTAGAAACATCCGCAGATGTGTTCATACGGTGGTTATCATGGAACCTTCAATGTGACACTTCCGTGCCATTCCACGAAAAGCGGCGTATGGTCCCCAAGTAATAAAAAGCGTGTGCCCTAAACGAAAAAGCCGGCGACGAAGTTTCAGTTCAAAATATGGTATCAGGTTACCAATACTGGGGAAGTGGTTACAGTAGATTTAGTGGCTTCCTTTTGTACGAAGGAACGGCTTCGACCCAGATAGTTGGTTAAGTTATATCAAAACCTGAACGTACTTCTTGTCGATTTATGTGCTGACCAGAACATGAATGTTTACATCAAAATTAAAGCAATACACAAAAATAGATGTCATTTCAAATATTTCCCCCACGAACGAGTGGATGTTCAATACTGAAATTATTCAACGTGTTTAATAAGTTAAGTAATGAAGCTATACGGATAAAATATTGTATTCATTACATAGTGTAACCAAAATAGTAACAGTAAAAAAGAATCATGCTTAACTGATGCGCTTATACTGTTACGGGAAAATTTTGTATGATTACTTTATGTCAGCATAACGTATCTGACGTCTCGTCTAAATATCATTCGTATCGGTTTTATGGAGCCGATATGCGGCATAAGTATGTGATAAACGCTTTGTGATGACATGTAATAAAAAAATGTGCATGTATGTCAACTATTCAAACGGACTATGTTAATAATAAATATATTTATATTTGTTATCTGCAATCATGTTTGTCACTTTTATAATCATACAAGGATCTTGCTTCAATAGTTGAACTTTTCAAATTACATGTTTATCACATACCAGTGCGCTTTTGCGACTCCGTAAAACTGGTATTGCATCGCCATGCATATTTTTTTTTACGTGACGTCCTTTGCGTTATGCAAACATAGTGTAAAACATGCTGAATGTTAGCGTTTCACTTTAATAGCGTCGATGATTCCTTTTACACTTTAAACGGTCTTTATTTTGGGTATGCGATAAACAGAAAATCATATCCTTGTAAGCTCATTCCTGAATTTTATTGAACATGTTGAATAAAATAAAATAATATCAAATTCGTTCAGTAATTCAGTATTGAACATACACTCATTTAATTTCCTATATATTACATATTTCGTTGAAAAAAATGCCTGTTAAGCGTATGTCATATTAGTAGTGTAGACATACCATAGATTTTTTAAATGAGTAAACATGTGAATTCATTTTATTTTAGTAATATAAACATACTTCAGATTCAATGATAAACCGTATGCATTCATACAATTTTTAACAAGGTTTACATACGATAAATAAAAGGACTTGTGACTTAGTGATGTAACATGCTTGCCGTTTGTACCAGTACCAATTTGATGATTTTATTCTTAATGAAAATGTAAAGAAATGCAATATTTCTAGTTATAATACAATTTTATTATTGTACCTTTATTAAAAAAAGAGTTGACCATGGGATGAGAAATTACGCATGTAAAACATCGGAACCTAACATGGTCAGTCCTTACTAACAGTCAACTCAATACAATTTGATATAAGGGACATCACTACATCATAATTGCTTCTTAGGTTATCTCAGCGTTTTGTTTTTTATAAAGTTGAATATATAGAAATGAAAATGATTAATAAATAAATAAATAAATAAATAATAAACAGGGAAAAGCCGGATCACTCGCTATGAATTAAACAATATGATGTTATTCAGTTACGACCGTCACTGATTTTTCCTTTACATGAGATTATTAGTTACAGCAAGAACATGTTCATAGTTTTATATAAACGTCAAAGTTCAACAACGTTTTTTGTGTTTTGTGTGTTGTTGTTGTTGTCGTTGTTGTTGTTGTTTTTTTAATTTGATAATGTGGTTTCATTGACAACAGAACAGCAGAAGACCTGCTTGGAAGATTTGTAATGATCGCGCCTTTAGTTTATGTGAGGGAACTGCATAAAATGCTTACTTGAGCTCGGCGTTTCGATTAAGCCTTAAAATGCTAGGATCAGTGCATCAAGGCTTATCCCACCATTATATATGGAAAGCCATTGTGCAAAATTAGCAGTCTAGTGTTGAACATAATGATACAATAAAGGGAACAGGTATTACTTCAATGAAATAAAACAAAATAATACGCAAACAATTTAGACCCGATCCTAAATTGAACTGTTTTAGTGAAAACATTGCTGATAATGTCTAATTATATCCCGTATAAAACATTTATTTGACTCTGTAACAAGCAATACTGTTATGACTTAATAATATTCCTGAAAGAAGCTTGCATTGGGCAGCACGTTATTGCCTAAAATACTTATAAAATAATAGAGGCAACGTTTTTAAAAGTCACTCCTAAAACTTATGTTTTTACAAAAATATTCACAGGAACCTTTAAAAGATAGTACGGAAAATTAAAACTATACAGATGCATGATAAGACAAAATAAGAACGTAATATTTCCAGTTTCAGAAATGAATGTAGATGATGAAAAAAAAAGAAACATAATCGGATTCAATAAATATTATAGCAAAAAGTGTTATATTCAATACTTGTAGAACTATACTTTCAGTCACACCTTTGACAAATTATTCGGCAATCTGATAACCAGCTGCCCAGATTTTCATTGCGTTTCCTTTTTTCCATTTATTCACAATTGGAATAATAAATGCAAGTACATCTGCAAGATATGCCAGTCCTTCTAATAGATGAAGAGAAGCTATGTAAGAGCCAGTTACATCACGAAGACCACCTGGAAATATATATATTTGAAAGTAATTGAGATGTTAAAGCAGCACATGACTTCAGATTCATGATTATCCTTTATGAAAATTATAATTTATTGAAAAATATAGTAAATTTTGTTTTGTTTTTCTGAAAAATAAGATATATCTTGTCAAAGGTACCAATTTCCCACAAAGACACCGATGAATAATTTGTCAGGCAATGTAGAAATGATTCTTACTCTGTTTGCAAAAGGGTAAAAATAGTGTTATTTATATACTTTAAAAACTAGTTTTCCATAATTTTGTTTTAAATTTGTATTAGCATCTTTAAAAAGGCAGCATTTACACCGACACAAATACGGACGTTTCACATGTATTTTACAGGTGATTACTTATAAAAAATGATTATGAAAACTTTTAAATGATTCACATAAATCTGTATCAGTAAAATCATAATAAAAAACTTCAGTTTTACTTGCTTTTTGTTTTGTACTAGAACTATAGTTAGCTGTCTCTTTGACGGCGCCATCTATATTTCCAGTTTTCTATATCATGTTGTGAGCATTGTTCATGACCTCATTTCTTTTCTCTCATATTTGCAACCCACTTTTACAAAATTCCAAATGTTGAGGTTAAAAACAACTTCAATGTTAAGTTTCTCCTCTTAGTGATCAGTAACAACCACCAAACACACCTAACAAACATATCAAAACTTTTTTCTAAGCACAAAAAATCCCCCCTTATCTGATTTCAGACAAAAGGTCATCTCAATATAGTAGATGCAAAACATGTTAGGTACGCGGAAGGTACGCATGTTCATATAGTCACATATATTATTAAATATCATCAAGTTAGTAACTAAATGGTATCAACTTTGAAATAAGAAAACACTTTCTCATATTATTTGTCTCAGAAACTCTGCACTTATTAGATAGTGTATTAGAAACAAGACCTTACAAACCGTGTCACCCCTTATGTTTCGTAGTGTTGTATGCCAATTAAACACAGAAATGTGTTATTTTGTTTTATTTCTGCTAATAGCAGAATAGCAATTCACCTTCTAAGTAAACTATTCCTGAGGTATAAAATTATATATCAGAAATCATACTTATGGAAATTTTACATGTACTGAATAATGGATGAAGAGTCAAAACAGGAAATATAACAATAATAGATATATCTGACCTTTTAGCGTCAATGTGAAAAGTTGAAACTTAAGTCCAACAGAAAAAAAAACCTATAACTGATGGTCAGAAATTTGGCTAACTTCTGTTGTCTCTCTGAGAGAAATCAGTTCATTACAAGGAATTTTTTTGAAAAATTGGATTGAAAAGCTGTACAATGCATAACATGGTGAGTACATGTTATCGTGTGCTATGGTGTTTGTTAAATAAGCTTAATTTAACACAGGTACAGCGTCCTTAATGAGTAATGGTAAGTTTATCTGATAAACATGCCTACAAAATATTCACTTACAGGGCAGGGTTATTTGCGGCTTCAAGATTAAGGAAATTACTAGGTAGATAGCATACCTTTGTTTCTAGGTAGGATATATCTATGTTTAACCAATTAATAGTCAAATTTATGTTACAAAATTTTGTATATAGACACCAACTTGTTAAATTTTGAAATAAAAATCAAAAGAATTAGAGCAGTTAGAAACGTAAACTGAAAGAAAAATATAAGTATATTATGTAAATGCGCATTTAATTTAGAAAATCCTTGATAATAATACTAAAAAACATATTGTGTCATCCCAAAAATGTACATTAGATATTACACTACACACACATATTGACAAGACACTTTACTGTGATAGTTTTCTACCATTGCAATTCAAAACTTTTACCTTTTTATTGCTTTGGCTTAATGATCTGATCACGGCTTTTGAGTAAATTATAATGAACGGCATCTTACAACCTTAAATGATTCAGATATATTTGAGATAATGTCCAATATAGCTTTAATATATATATATAACTAACTGTTATAACACAAAGATGGAAAGTTTCTTAAGTATATGTTTTACAGCTTGTTGCCTCGTGATACATGGCGTTAAATGTGGAGAAACTTTGGCACAAAATGTGAATGGAAAGGAAACAATTTTAACAAGCGAGGTCAAGGTATATATCAACAGTATTGTTTCTGATTACGTTCACAAGCAGAATGAAGACATTGACCAACTGAAAGCGATTGTTTTCTCACAAGGAATAAAAATAGCTGAACTAGAAAAGGAAACGCTTGCATATCAAAATGTTGTTTCAAAGTTAGAAACCAGGCTTGCATTTCTAGAAGCGAACAGTGACAATACGCAATCCGAAAACGAAAATGAGTTTTACGAAGACGGATCTGAAAAGGATGTTAAAATAAGAGATAAAGGGACAGATCGAAACGGAAAACCCAGTAGGTTATAATTACACTTATTCACGTATCGTCATGACTCTTAGATTTTACAGTAACTGTTCAGTTTCTTTAAATACAACGGCATATATTGGTCAATGACATTGCCATTTTTGTGCCCTTTGCTGCAATGATTTTTATAGATATTTCAATTTTAAAGCTTTAATGGAAATGATATCTTTCTATTACTTGTTTAAATACAAACAGGAAAATATTCAGGGTTTTTGTACATGCATCAGAATATAGTGTATAATCATACAAATTATTATGTTTCCAACATATAGTTAAGATATTCAATTATCAATACGTATATGCTAAACTTTATTTTAGAATTCCTTCGTCGAATAAGAAGAGCAACCGTTGAATCTGGGGTAGCGTTTTCCGCATCTATGACCGTAGATGAAAACAATGTTGGTGAAAAACAAGATATAGTATTCAATCATGTGATAACCAACGTCGGGAATGCATACAACAATCACCATGGTACTTTTATAGCACCAGTGACCGGAACCTACGTATTTTATTTCTCCTTGCATAGCCCAGGTGCAAGAGCAGATCTAGTATTGAACGGGTCTGCTGTAGCTAATCTTTATATAGGAAATGATCAGGCATCCCAGCTGGCAATTCTGAACGTTAACGCCGGCGACGATGTTTCAGTTCAAAATCTGGTAGCAGGTAAACAATATTGGGGAAGTGGCTACAGTACATTTAGCGGCTTCCTCTTGTACGAAGGAACGACTTCGACCCAGATAGTTGGTTAATCTGTATAAATACCTGATCGTACTTTCTGTAGAGTTGTGTGTTGACAAGAACATGTATGTTTACATCAAAATTAAAGAAATACAAACAAATGGATGTCTCGTTTCAAATATTTCCCCCACCGTATTGAACGAGTGCAGGTTCAATACTGAAATTTTTAAACTCGTTCAATAAGTTTAGTAATGAAGCTATACTGAAAAATATTGTATTAATTACATACCTATAGAGTTTAGAAATCCTGTTTTGCTGACGCGCTTATACTGCCATGTATGTTCACTTTATGTTTGCATAAAATATATAACGTCACGTCAAAATATTATTCCTATCGGTTTAACGGAGTCGATATGCGGCACTTGTATGTGATAAATAATGTGTGATGACATTTTATAAACAATTTGTTATTCAAATAATTTAATAGATAAACTTTTTAACAAAATGTACATGTATATCAGTTTTTTAAGTCAACTTTGTTCGATAAAAGAAAAACATTCTTGTTTGACACTTTTATAATCATACAAGGATCTTGCTTCATTAGTGGAACTCTTTGAACTACAGGTTAATCAAACACCCGTGCCGCTTTTGCGACTCCGTAAAAATGGTATTGCACCGCCGTGACCGCCGTGACCGCCGTGCATATATTTTGACGTGACGTCATTTGCATTATACAAACATAGTTTAAAAACATGCTAAATGTTAGCGATTCACTATAATCGCGTCAATGATTCCTTTTTTATTTTAAACCGTCTTTATTTTGGGTTTGTGATAAATAGAATATAATATATGTGTGAGCTCATTTAATGAATGATCGGTCAACTGAATATGATTTTTCTATCGCTTTCCCTTTTTCTGTCGTCACAATAAAAAATCCTCACAAAAAATTAGCCAATCAGTGGGCATGCCCAGGAGTGCGGGTAACGCATACCTTTCTCCAGGTAATGCACTCACTGTGCATGTATATTTTTTATCTTTAAAAAGTAAGATTTAGGTGTTAAATTAAACTTTAATGATTAAGATTGCCTTACATTTTGTATTATGTGTCAACAACTAATTCATAGGTCATTTTTCATCGCCTCTTGCTTAAAATCTGGTAGTTTTGAGTAAATTTTTGGAATAAAATGGAATAAAAAACAAGATGATGGTGAGGTTAGGTTGACGGACTTTTTCCGGCGAACATTTTTATCATGTGCATTATTATGAAATACGATTTCATTTCAAAACAGCTTATATTTAGTTTTTTTGACATATATGATAAGCATATGTGCTGTGATTGACAAATATACACTTAAGTTAGTTTTTAAGGCGTTCGGAGCTCCACAACTCAAGTGTCTGTGTTTTTACTAAAAACAATGCTAATAATGTCCCATTACATGTATTCCAATATAAAATATTTATTTTATTCTGTAACAAACAATAGTGTCATGAGTTAATGATTACAGAGGTATAATATTACAGAAAGAAGCTTTCATTGGGCAGCATGTTATTGGCTTAAATACTTATAAAAATAATAGAGGAAACGTTGTTAATAGCCACTCGATTTTCACACAAAAATAAGTATGTATTTTACAAAAAAAAATAAAAAAAATAATAATAACAGAAACCATTAAAAGATAAAAACCATACAAATATACATGTATGATAAGACAAATCTGATAAATGGCTGCTCATGTTTCAGGTTTTCTTTTCGACATCCGTCTCTTTACTCTTTTTCCATTTATTCACAATTGGAATAATAAACGCAAGCCCACCAGCAAAGTAGGCCAGTCCTCCTAATAGATGAAAAGAAGCCACATAAGACCCCGTTACATCACGGAGACCACCTGGAAATATACGAGTATATGTATTTGAAAGTTTCAAAGATGTTAAAGCAGCATATAATTTCAGAGTCATGATTGTCCTTTATGAAAATTATAATTTATTAAAAAAGAATGTAAATTTTGTTTGGCAGAAAAAACGTGAACCGCTTTCCATAAAGTCGACAAAGAATAATTTGTCACGCAATGTAGAAATGATACTGACTCTGTTTACAAAAAGGGTAAAAATAATGTGATAGTACGGTATATTCTGTCGAGTATTGTGAAAATGTATACCTTTAAAAACAAGTTTTCTATATTAGTTTAAATTTTATAAGCATTAAAAATACAAAATTTACAACAAAACAAATACGGACGTTTCACGTGTATTTTACATGTGATTTCTTATAAGAAATGACTATGAAAATTTTGAAATTATTTGACTATTTGAAATAGTTTTAAATTAAAGTAATGCCAAATGCTAAACTAAACCCCATGCAACACACTGCAGTCCGAAAAATCTTACTCTAATTCTAATTATCTGAAGCATAATAATAATTCAATGTATTGTAATTTTCGGCTACCTGCGACTGGGAAAAACACTGCTATAGATGTCCCATGTACCAGTGTTCCGAACCCTAGAGAACTTTTGAACTTCTCTGGACCTATCACTTCCATTAGAAGAACTGCATACATTGATAAATACTGTCCGCAACAAATACCTGTGTAATAATTTATAGACTGTAAATCTGGTTTATGAATTGAAAATCAAAATGTATATTGACTCAGAATTATGCTCTAAATATAGTTGATGAGAAATGAAATTTAAATATCGTCTTAAGAAGGATAAAGTAATACTTAGATGATTATCAGTATTTCCAAAATACATAAATAGGTTCATAGAACGAAGCCTCCGATATCGAACAAATGGACTATAAGAAAATCAAAACAAAACAGGTTTCGTCCCAGTTTCCCATTATAGATTTATTTAGAAACCTTTAGTTACCTACCGGCTATAACAACGAATACAACCATTGTGGTAAATGAATTCACAAAACGCATCAGATGTGACATCGTTCCTAGCGTGAACGCCACAATTACGAGAATTGTCGACCTTTTTATCCACTTTCTGTCTGCGATTACTCCCATTGTCAATTTTGACACTAGATCAATGGCGGCCATTATAGAAATTAAAAAACCTATCTTCTCATTACTAACACCAATATCTTTAGCATGGGTCGGCATATAAATTGGGACAAGTGCTACACCTGACATCATGGAAAATGCCATGAAGAGAAATGCTATAAATGCAGGATTTCGTAATAATCCTAAATCCAACACTGAGCTTACTATTGTAATAATACATGATTTCATATTTAAGCAACACGTAGCTTTGCCATCGCTGACATCTTTTTCCTTAATTTCTATTTCGTCTATTTCTGCATTATGTTTGAAATTTTCTTTTGATGATGGAATATTGACATCAACAAAGGAACCGCAAACTCCTTCAACGCTTGTGTATAGAGACATTTGAGAATGTGATATTGCATCAATTACTCCTTTTAACAGGTGTCTGTTATGGTGAATATTGTTTTCACTTCTATACTCTTTGTATCCTTCAGACAAAGTTCTCTGTCTAAGACCAAAAGACGGAGTCCTAACTCTCTGAAGCAAAGGTGAACCCAGCGATTGGTGATCAGCAATACTAGGGTCATGTGATTGCATTCGAGTAAAATTATCTGCATTTATGCGTGATCTATAAGACCGTGCTATCTCTGCTTCCCCCGGATTCACAACATTTGTATTTATACCGTTTTTCTCACTTTGTTTATGTTCCGTGTCGACATAATCGTCATTTCTGCCTAGCATCTTATCATTCAGAGAATGTTCAGCAATATTTACAATTTCTATTTTGCGCGGAGAGTAACTTTCTATTGGCCGCATTAATAAAGCACCGACCCAAATATTCATTAACAGTCCTGCCACTATCAGCAACGCTCCAGTATACCCGTACTCTTCAAATAATTTCACTACTACTGGTGCAAAGATAAGGCCACCAACGGAGCCCCCACCTGTGAAAATACTGTTTGCAAGGCCTCGGTGTTTGTTGAAGTATACACCGATAATTGCAAGCATTGGTGGAACAATCATGGCCATTCCTATACCTACAAAGTAAAGGTTATCAATAATTTGTGTAGCATAATAAAATCAGGAACAGTTACGATGTTCGAATAGCGTGCATGTTTGATGTGATCAACTTTAAAATTCACTTATTCATTATCGTTATGCAAAGGCTGTTCTTTTCGCAAATTACCGGACCATGTTCTTTATAATTCAGCAATTCAAGGAATCCTAAAAAGTTTTGATTATGTTCAATCAAACTGAGCCTGCAACCTCTTTTTCAATTTTGTTGTGTTGGGCTTTCTTTGGGGATTCTGTTTATTTTTCTTTTTTTCATTTGAATGATGAGTTTGACTCAATTAAACAAGAACGGAAAAAATCCATGTGAATTAAACGTATTCAAGTGAATTACAAGGATAACGGAACTTACCGCCAAGCACACCTTGTGCAAAGTAAAACACCCGTATATCCGTGCTATAAGCAGTGATAATGTATGAAATAACTGTTAATGTACCACCTGTTAGAACAGATGTACGACTGCTAAACCTCTTCAATCCAATAGTCATTACAAACAGAGCTGAAAAAAAACCCGCACAAATCAGAAAAGTTACTGCATCACAATTACTTTCAATATTTGAGCCGCGCCATGACAAAACCAAAGTAGTGCGTTTGCGACCAGCATGGATCCAGACCAGCCTGCGCATCCGCGCAGTCTGATCAGGATCCATGCTGTTCGCTTACAAACCCTATAACATATAAAGAAACTGATATCGAACAGCATTGATCCTGATCAGACTGCGCGGATGCGCAGGCTGGTCTGGATCCATGCTGGTCGCAAACGCATTTTGTTGGTTTTGTCATGACGCGGCTCATTTACTTTGCTTTACTTACAAAACAATTGAACGCTAACATGCATACATAGAATGTTACGTTATATATCGAATTAAACGCAAAAGTAATTTAGAAATAAGAAATACTTTGCACTCAGCAATATATTTCACATCAAATCAATCTATACAGCGTTAACGTGTAACGGCAAAATCTCGCTAAAATATGAGAGTACTCTACATTCGGCAATATGACTTATTTAAAGGCATGTTTGAAATTCGATCATATTGGATGTTTTCAAAGCAACTTTAAAGTGGAATAATCATTGTACTTCTTTCAAATACTCTTTTATTTCTTAAAAGTTGATATTTTACTTGAACAATCATTTGTTTTTCTCACACCGCTGTAAGTTCGAGTCGCGCCAGTTTCTCCGGATTCTTCATGTGAAAAGCTATCCAGCTAGCTAACGGAACGTCGGTGATTCTACCCATGTTCCCGTTTGTGCCTAAAATAATGTACGGAGGGACACCACCAGTAAAGTTGTAAAGTCGTCAAATGATCTTTACAGTGTTGGTGCGACGTCAAACCCAATAAAAAAATCAATCATCTTTAAAGCTTACCCGTTATGCTGAGGACAATATTCTGGATGAAACTCATAAACGCAGTATCTGCTGCATTGGACTTAAATCGCATTTGATACTGCAGGAAGAACACACCAAACGACTTCATAAGACCGCCATGAATAATGAACTCGAAGACACAACCTGTTAAAATAGATAGTATCCGAAACTCGACAAATAGAGGTTTTCCCCAGCTAATCCGAAGGTTCAAACACACTTTTACCGTTATAGCTTAACGATGCACTACCAGTCACAATAGATAAGTGAACATGTTGCGCTTAGTTTCGAAAATTTAACATTAAAAGTGTATTTGTCCTACGGATTAGCTGGAAAACACAAATATTCTTAATTCCAGAGTTAGTTTTCCTTTATAAACTTTACTCTGAAAGCACTATGCGCTTCTGATTAAGACATAATCACACTTACTTGAACTTGCAATTGCAATATATGAATTTCATTATTACTTTTATATAGCTCATGAATGACTTTAAAAATTCTGTTTGTTACCAGGTTTTCATTTTTGTCTTCGGGTTGATGTATGTACATTTCTCCTTAAAATAATTTCTCATAAATAGACATTTCAAATTTTTACGAAACAATTTGTGCATAACATAAACTTTTTACCATAACGAATTAATAGAATGGGATTTCCATTTATATAAAACCAATCATGTATATACTTCACCTCTTTACCTGTATCAGTAACAAGTCAAGTATTAGGACTATTATCGTCACTGAAGTGCAATTTAACTCCTATTAAATTTAATAGGAGATCACCAGTTACTGCACCAAGATGGTGGTATCAATCTAACGAAAGAGGAATTTAACGGTAACAATGTCTTAAGCGGTTATAGCAAATTATTCATCACAGTACATCTTCAAATGAATCATGCATATGTGTTTTTTTATTGCAACCGTATGAGTTGATTCAGGCAATTTCCTTTGAAACTATGATATTCATATCTTAATTTAATTGCTACTTGATATAAATTGTGTAAAGCTAACACTCATACCATTTATAAATCTTTGGATATTACACATTTATTATTTTTTTGCCCACAGATATATTGCAATTTACTAAATAATTCATACACATGTAGAGCGATTTGAAAACAACTTTTCGTTTTCGACAAAAGTCTAATCGGATTTAAATCTAAGTAAATTAACAAAATTATTATTGCGAAATAAATCGCAGAAAAAAAAACACCTGCTAAGACTACCCATGCCCATCCTCTGTCTATTGGTGGTCCTTCTGGGTCATCTATATAATCCTGTATTGCACCGTCGGTTTCGATTACTTCTAAATCAGTCTCGTCATCAACTGATTCTTGTTCGACTTCTCTCTCCATTTCAAATGTTTCCCCATCCACACCAAGATTAACCGACTCTAGCTTTGCCATTTAACTAGTGTCGGTATCATTTGAATTTTTGTAAACCTATTTCAAAACAATATGGTCTGCAATTTACGCGGTAAAGACGTTCCATACTTTATAATAATGAAAACAATAGTACACTGACACATTTCTCGTTCTTTACAAGTCATTTAACATTTAATTTTAACATTTCTCTGCCATTTTTTTCAATAATTATGACATTATGAGATCGTACACTATCCGGGTATTGTACCATAATTTAACATTATATATTATCTAGTTTTATCTTTAAGGGTATATGTGTAAGACAAATATGTACATATAAAGATAAACGCTCACGGACTGAGTTTAATATATAGCATATCCTATTAATAATTTCTGATTCTTTTTTTTTTTATAGAAACCCGGTTGTTTTATAACGATACATAAGGCACATAATGTCTCAGGAATCTTTTTTTTTTAATTCTGTAGAAAGGTGAGATATGTGTTAAATAATTTTTTAATAATTAAATTTACAGCATCTTAGATGTTAAACAACTACAAGAAGTGAAAATGGTGTTGAATGTGCTATAATTTGTTATAAGGTAGCAAAAGGTAAACAAAGAAGTATTTTGACTTCCATACAAAATACTTATCACTATAATTATACCAATTTCCAAAGAGCAAAGTAATCGAAAAATAGTTCATTCATAGAGCCAATGAGGTTTTATGTTTTTAGAATTTGTAATAAGATACAAAGAGTAAAAAGGTTTTAAAAAATAAAAATGATAGAAAATCGGAGGCTTATTGGGCTTAATTGGCCTTTAAACGGACATCAACTGTTAATTGTCTTCAGTATCAAATGTTTTACTAAGATGGAATCTGTTTTTATCTGCTGTTTATTGCCGAAATTCATATACAATGTTTTCATATTATACTTTATAATATTGCATGATGGCGGATTATTGCAGTGAAGATGTATCGAGTATTTGACCTTTGACCTTATATTTGCCCGGAAAAGAGGTAATAAAACAACAACATGCAACTTATCTTTAAAACAGCATGCCTACAGATTCATGCTAGTTTTTATGAAAATATATACATTTATATAAAATAAAACATAGGAAAGTTTTAAACTCATTGCATATGACACTTACAATGGCGTAAAATACCATAAAGATGTCAATACCCTGAAAAAAGAAGCCTTTCCTGCGTTAGTCACGCAGTATAAAAATGGTGACAGATACTGCAAAATCAATCATTTATCGCCCATAGCATATACATTTTAACTTGAATCTTTTCTTAAAATCTTAAGTCATTTTTTACAAGTTTGATTATTTTTTAATATATTTTGGCTCATCTAGAATCATGCAGCTTTAACACTTTAAAACAAAACAAAGGTCATTATATACATTGTTGCGCCACGAGACACTTGAATATCTCGAGTATGACATATTTTAAAATAGAAAAGAAATCTTCAAAGCTGTTATTAGGTTGCTTTAAGTTATAGGAAAATAGATAACCCAAATAAACATTAGATAATAAACTTCCTTATTTTGAAGTTATAAAAGAAAAGTGGGTTAACTAGTTTTAAAAGTCCTCATAATTTTGTTTTAAAAGCGATGTGACCAATATGATGTATATTAGTGTTATATACAGTATGTCAATTTGCATCGTGAATTTTTAGCACAGTTGGTTACACTGGAATTTTTTATCTGTCTTATACAAATGTACGAGTATTTGATTTAATGTTTTGAGAGGGTTATATGTAAGTTTTAGCTTTACTTCTTTCTCCAGCAATAGTTTGCCCTACACTCAGCACTAAGAACTAAATAGGTTTTACTCATTCATAGAAGATATTATTTTTTTGTGGGGATGGTGTGTGTGACAAAGTTCGACGTTAAAATGGCTAATGTCATTAAACGTAAAATCAAGTGTTTCACATACAGATTTCTGTGAGAAAAATTAGACGTTGTTTAATGTAAAGATAAAGCTTCAAAATTAGCATATCACTCATGGAGCTCTGACATCCATAGTTTAAACTTCAACGGCAACTGTTTTATATTGCAATAAAAAGGGAGCCTCGCTGACAACTGAATTTGGTTTACTCCTGTAATTACAGTAATGTGGATCTTTCAACCTTTAAGATAGCCCACCCCGAACAGGCTGGGTGGCAACGGCACGAAAATGCGTACATCAAAGTTCTTAAAGTACTTTTGGAAGGCACAATTCATTTTGCAAGATTGTCTTTTCACTACACAAATGCATATGTTTCAGTTCTCATTCGTAAAAAAGATCATTTAGATGGAAACGGGTTGTTTTTATCTTCTTGAATGACACCATACTATAAATTTGCGAGCAGGTAACTAGACTTTTGTCCTGCAGCTCATACAAGAGGGATGGGGGACGTCATTAAATTCGCCTTGTGAGATTGGGTCTATACTGTACGAGGCAGAAATTCATTTACTACCAGTATAAAACCAGACAAGGGTGCCCCTCAATATAGATTGATTTGTCTCTTTCAGTTGACTGAAGAACTCTGAATATTCACTATGGATAATATTCATAAAGTTATTGATCTACCAATTCTACATAGACGTTTGACAATTCAATTTAGAAAGTTTGGGTAAGGGCTCAAGAATGTCCGAATGACAACAATAAATCTTCTACAATATTTTTTCTATGTATAAATAATTAACAATATTTTACAATCTATGTTTTATTAGCTGGATCCTCTGTTAAAACTTTTTCTTTTTTACCATTCATCCATTTATTTACTATTGGAATAAGAAAAGCAAGGACGCCGCCAACATATGCAAGTCCACCAAGCAGATGGAATGAAGCGACGTAACTTCCGGTGACGTCACGAAGGAGACCTGGGGAAATAATAATAGAAATAGTTATAACCACTTTTAAATAATGCTGAAAGAAGAATTCCATTGATATAATAATGTCAATGAAGTATCAATGAAAGAAAATGATTGACCAATACATTTAATCATTCTAACACTGCCATACTGGAAATATTTTCCTATAAATAATTTAACTCTTTAAGTGATGATATATGTTATTAATAACAATCATCTTTGACTTAGGCACACAGAAATGATAGTACCTGTTGAACAATCAGAATTCATCAATGATTCATTGCATTAAACAAGTTATCAAAATGTTGTTAAGTTAAATAATCACGTACTAGTATGATCGTTAACATTTATAAAAAAAGAAGTTCTTCGGAAACGTAGAGAAACCAAATAAAATAATCCAGCCTAACCAATTGCGATATCGACAGACTAAGTTTACTTCCTGTCCGGCTATCTTACGTATTACTTTTGGAAGAAATTACATTGTATACTGTTGTTCTAATAAGGTTATTGCTCAGTAGAGGACCGCACTACAGAGGTTGCAATTTAATAACCATTCTTTTATCTAATTTAGTTTATGAGCTAATCAAAACCATTCGAAATTATTGGGATTTTATTGATCAGGCACATACCTGCAATTGGAAAGAACACTGCAATAGACGTGCCGTGTACAACAGTTACAAATCCTAAACAACTCTTGAACTTTTCTGGTCCAATAACTTCAATAAGTATCACAGAAAATACTGACATGTACTGGCCACAACAAATACCTGCAATTAAATTGATGATAAAAATAAATATTTATAAGAAACAATACAGAATATGTGAATAGATCTAATGAAGGATGATGTAGTTTCGCAAATAAATACAAGGTACATGAAGTATTTCAAAATCGAGTATGAACGCATATGCCAAATCAAAAAGAACAAACGTTTTATGCTATTTCTATAACTCAATTAGATATCACATTTTCTTGTCAGATACTTTTAATATTATGTCGTACAGGCAGATCTCTTTAATTTTCAAACGGGTAAAAGAAAACTGGAAAATAAATGAACTCGATAGATTGATCATGAAAATAATAATGTATTTTGAAATGTAATGTTGCAATACTGTTTATAAAGGTATAAGTTGAGAATTGCAGTCTCGGTTCTACTGTTTGTAAAAGTATAAGTTGACATTTGCAGTCTCGGTTTTACTAAGCCTGATTATGAAATACTCAGTCTTATTGAGGCTGGTCATGACAGATAATATAATGTACAACATCTCTCACCACCAACCCTAGCACCGGCTTAATTAATCCGTGACATTAAGATGATATAATATGAGAAATGACATTTAACATAGCAAACAATTTCAAAAAAAAATAAGTACAATGTATATCAGATTGATAAGACAATTTACCTGCTATAACAACAAATATAACCATGGTTTCGAATGAATTCACAAAACGCATCAGATGGATTGTCGTTCCTAAGATAAATGACAGAACGAGCATCATCGTCGACCTCCGGAACCACTTCCTGTCTGCTGCCACACCAAGAATAAGTTTTGAGACTAGGTCAATAACAGCCATTAGAGAAATCAACAGCCCAATCTTTTCATTACTGATGCCAATATCCTTTGAATGGGTTGGCATATAAACCGGTATTAACGCAACCCCTGATATCAAGGAAAATGACATGAACATAAATGTTATGAAAACAGGATCTTTTAGTAGCCCTACGTCAAATACAGTTCGCAAAACGTTTAAAACTAATGTGCAACATTTACTACTATCGTCGTTCTTTTCGTTAATTTCATCTGAATCACTTTTCGCTTCAACACCGTCAATCTTCGAAATCTCCTGCACTGAAGGAACGTTTAAACTTATAAATGAACCACAAATTCCCTCTCCGCTTGCATAAACATTAATTTGCGAGTGAGAAATTGCGTCAATAACTCCTTTCAAAGCATGTTTACTATGATGAACATCATTTTCACTCTTGTATCGTTGGCTATTTTCAGATATTGTCCTCTGACGAAGTCTTTGAGAATTCGTGCGCATGCGTTGTAGCAAAGGTGATGCTTGGTATTTCCTGTCAAGAATGCTTGGATCATATGATTGCATTCGAGTAAATTCGGTCGATTTTACGGCAGGGTGTTCTAGAAAATGTTCTTTTTCTTCATGTTCAGATTTTATAACCACAGTCTCCTCATTTATTTCCTCAAATGCCAACTTGTCTACTTTATTAGGATCTTCGTTACATGCTGACTGTACTGAAGGAGATTGCTCTTCAGGTTGTTCCGGGGTTTCAGCAGATTTTGTTTGCTTCTTTGTGTAGCTATCGATCGGGCGTAATAGGAGGGCGGACACCCAGATATTCATCAGAAGAGCGGATATTATTAAGAACGCCCCCGTATACTGGAATTCATCAAATAGTTTAACAGTGACAGGAGCAAATATAAGACCACCTACAGACGATCCTCCCATTAATATGCCGTTTGCTAGACCTCGATGCTTTTCAAAGTAAACACCTATTGTTGCCAGTATCGGAGGTACAATCAAAGCCATTCCAGCACCTGTGAATGGATGTATTGATAATCGCATCTGTTAATTGCCGTTTATTTTATTTGAGATAATTAATTTTCTCATTAATGATAACACTTATTATATAACAATAAAAGCGATAAGATTCGTCGATTATAGACAGATAATTGAATACTATTATCATAACAGTTATCATCATCAACATCGTCGTCGTCGTCGTCGTCTTCGGTGTTGTCGCCTTAGTCATCGCCATCATCATCATTATCATTATCATCGTTGTTGTTGTCGTCATCGTCATCATCACAATCATCATCAATATTGTTGTCGTCTGCGTTATTGTCGTCATAGTCATCGTCGTCATCATCACCATTATCATCGTCGTCGTCGTCGTCATCATCACCATTATCATCGTCGTCGTCGTCGTCATCATCATCATCATCAATAACAAAAACATCATCATTATCATCAATTCTGATTGTCGTCGTCGTCACCATCATCATCAACATCATCATTTCTGATTAAATCATTAAATATATAGTTTGAAATTACTTATACTGTACATTTTTATATACTAATTATTATAATTTTTATCTTTATATGTAAATTGCTTCAAAGTGAAATGATAAATAAATAAGAAAGTAATACCTCCAAGGCCACCTTGAGCAAAATAAAACACTCTGATATCGCTAGTGAAGGCAGTGATGAGATAGGCAGCTACCGTGAGAGTACCACCAATAAATACAGCTACACGTGTACTGAACTTCTTTAAACCTATGGTCATTACGAGTAGAGCTGGACAAAATAAAAGTAAGATTTTAATATATCAAATATCATTGAGTTCAGGAATAAGGAATCTGGATCCAAATATTGACGGACGATTTTAATTCACATTTCATAATGTTGATATTTTTCAAACAAGAATATGTTACAGCCTGAAATGAATTTGCACCACCACATTATATGATTTTAGTGTCTATTCTAGGATTCGAAAAACAGGGGGAGGGGTTATGGAACAGTCAGAATTTATTAAATTTGTTGATCTTTTTTCTTCTTTCTCTGTATTAAATTCCCCCCCCCCTGCGTCTTTAAAACATAGGGGGGGGTCTCAAAAATATGAGTGACCCCCCCCCCCCATAGAATCTTTCCTAGAATAGACACTGTGATTATAATTATGTCAAACATTACATTGTCATAGATAAGTTGTTTTTTAAAGTTTCATGCTATCATCATCTTATGATGATCATAAACAAGCTTATGGTTTGGTTTAAACATATTTATTTAAGCTCGATTGCGAAACAAGTTCTTACAACTTATATTAATCACTTTCGAGTCCGTTTCCTGGAACCAACTAGTACTGGTGTCGTATAAGGAAACATTCACAATCTTATGATGATCATTAACAAGCTTATGATGATCTTTAACAAGCTTTTGATATGATCATTTATGATCTTCTGATGATCATTAACAAGCTTTAACAATCTTATGATGATCATTAACAATCTCATGATGATCATTAACAATCTAATGATAATCATTAACAAGCTTATGGTGTGATCATTCACGATCTTATGATGGTCATTAAAAAGCTTTAACAATCTTATGATGATCATTAACAATCTTATGATGATCATTAACAATCTAATGATTATCATTAACAAGCTTATGGTATGATCATTCACGATCTTATGATGGTCATTAAAAAGCTTAAACAATCTTATGATGATCATTAACACTCTTATGATGATCATTAACAAGCTTCACAATCTTATGATGCTATTCATAAAAATTGTTTTATGTATTTAAATGATGCTTTCTCTTGTCGTTTAGAATTGGTAGTCTGTTTGTTCTTTTTTTTGTTAATAATCTTGCATTTGTACCACATACCTGTTATGCTAATTACAACGTTTTGAACGAGGCTCATCAGTGCTGTCTCTGAAGCATTAGAATTGAACCTCATCTGGTATTGCAGGAAAAATACGCCAAATGACTTGTTGAGACCACCGTAAATGAAAGTTTCAAGTACACAACCTGAAGCAAGAGAAATCACATAAATACTGTCGAACTTCGACAAAAGTTGAATGAATATTACGTTATATATAACGCATATCGAAAACATGTCATCTTTGAATTTAACCGCATATCGACAATAGTTGCAAATATAAGTGATTATCGAAAACAAGTGTATGCTTGTAAATAAGCACATATCGAAAATATGTGTAGATATAAACGACTACAAGAAACAGGTGTATGCACGTGTTTGCTATTGAAAGGTTACACCTCATTGGCCAACCGTATAAGATGACAAGACGACATAAGTCTACTTTTATATTATAATAATATTTAAACATATAAACAAAATAGATTAATTTATTAATTTCAAATGACCAATTTGAAAATCATCATTTAATTTACCATTTTCCTTCATGAATTGATGTTATAGTAGAGTAACTTTGAGTGTTTATCATATCAAATTTTTAATTTATTTTAGTAAGATTTTATCCTTTTTATCCATTTATATATTTTATATGTACCAGTGTACAACGCCATAGAAATTTTTTTATTGAAATAGGCGTTTAATCAAATAAAATGTTTCATGATTAATGTTTCACGTTTCATATCAAAAAGGTGTATCATTTAATTGTAAAATTCTACTTCAGTTGCGCAACAATTGAAATTGTAAAATATATTTTTTTCAGTAATTTTGTCTCAATTGCGATTAGTTTTTTTACTGGTGTATTGCATTATTAGAATGACGGTGTTTTCATCATCATCGTCATCATCCTCATCATTTCAACTTTTAATTATTTAATTATTAGATTATATTATTTCATTCATGTACCGAGTATTATTTTATGTATATAGACCTGATAAGAAATCTTAAACTCATGCACACACATATGTAACATTATTTCTTGTAAAAAATATACCTGCAAGTACGACCCATGCATATCCTCTGTCAATAGGAGGTCCACTTTGCCGAACTTTTACGTCAACTTTTGTTTCTTCTTTTTCAGCCCCGTCAACTTCATCTTCATCTTCATCCTTTGTTTTCATTTCCATTGTCTGTCCATCAGGTCCATTTACCTCACTTAAATTTGGTTTTGTCATGGCTTTTTCTATATCTAATTTGTTAAAAACTTAACCACTTCTCATTTCAGAGAAACATATATTTAAAATGAAAATTTTCCTTTTTAATACGAACTCTTTCCATTTATTGCGCAATCATTTAACAATTAAAAAAGTGTTTCCAAGTGTTACATCATCATTGACAAGTTATTTAGTAGACAGTGTATAAAATTGCACCATATTTACTTCAATTGCATAAAAGATGAACATTTAGACTCTATCTTAATTTATTTGTTTAAGTTATCGTTCATTTATCTTACGAAGATACGCCACATCCTTAAACCTTGGCCCAAAATCATTAAACGCACAAAATCAAACAAAACTTAGCTATCTGTTACAGCTAGCTGCATAAAGTGGCTATTTTTGTAACAAATCTAATGTACATGAAACATTAAAGGCTCTTTATGACTCAGAAATGAACATTTTTTCCTTCTCCAGAAAAGGCAAAAATGAGCTTCATTACATTTAAAAATTGGGTTTAGTAAATGTTAAATGTTTATCACCTGAGCAATGTAGTGCTGAAAGTGAACATATTTGTCATACATATAGCACAATGTAAACAAAGAAGTGTTTTGAATTCCATACAAAATACTAAATCACTATAACTATACTCATTGCTTAAACGCAAAAGAGGCGAATGATGTCTCAGTCATTTTGCCAATGGGTTACAATTTAGAAACTATATAACAGGCCTCCTAAAATAAGAAGCTTTTGATAAAAAACTATATCATTTCTCAGGCTTAATGGACCTTTGAGTATCAAAGAAATAATATGAAAACATTATAATACGGTATATATAATTAAAAGGAGTCGGAATCTTGCGCATGCTTAGCTTATGCGCATATCAAGATATATAAGTAAAATCATATTATTTTGAGAAGAAGTTCTTCCATATTTTAGACTTTTACTTATGGTTTATTTGTCATGAATTAAAAAGTAGCGTGTTAAAAGTGTAAATGATTTATCCTTCATGTGTGCTGTGTCCGATACCTGATCTTTAAAGGCAGATTTAGACCAACAACTTCATATTTTTGGTCCTTACAGTTTGCGTTTCAACTCAATTTAGCTGTAAGTTTAGTTAAAATGATGAAGTATTTTATATGGAACACAAAATACCACTTTGTTTACGTTTTGTTATGACTGCAAATACTTTTATATTTATTGGGGATGTCTTCAAGTTTAAGCATCCAACAGCTTTAAATCTACAACAAAATCATTATAAAACATACAATTGCCTTATTTCTGAATCATCAAATATATTTCAGAGGCTTCATAGGCCTTTAAGCATTACTGATTGTCATACAGTTTTTTTTTTTTCAGTTTTATTTATTTGCATAATCAGGCCTCCGGCCCATACACATATATATATATACAACATTATAATTTACATCTAAATATGAAGCATGAAGTCAAGGATTAACAATGACAAATTTCAGTTTATAATACCAATCTAACATAATATATATTGATATAAAAACACATAAATTCCTCTCAATAGGCTTACAATATCATCTGTTATTTAATAATGCTTGATACTTAAACAGAATCGAACTTTGCTTATAATGTATAATATCTAATGAACATTTGTACGCCTCCATAGAATATAAGAAATACATAAGCCTTCATTCTCAAAAAAAAAAAAAAAAAAAAAAAAAACAAAAAACAACCTGCAATGAGAGAACATGATAAACCAAATGGAAAATCAAAACACTGACAGAAAGTCTTCTCTTTTTTTAAAAGAGTAATTAATAAACATGGCTAAATTTCTTATAACATTTGTACTGTCACATGACATCAGCCTGTAATATGTATCCAAAGTAGGATTATTAATAAACATTGATGGTATGAATTTTCCCCTGATTTCAGAATAAAGAGGACATATAAGAACAAAATGAAACTCATCCTCGATAACAGTTTCACACTAAGGACAGAAACGGAAGTCTCTTGGAATATTCTTATGTCTACACTGTTCAATCATTAAATTATGACATGAACTACGAAATTTAGCCATACTAGATCTAAACTTTTCAACATCAAGTATTGCAATATATTTTTCTAGATTATAATTTTTGTTTAAAATGTATATAACTATATAATTTACTACTAGATCGGCACCGAGCAGTCCAATTTTGAATATACTGATCTTTCAACCTTTGTACATATTGCTTTTCAAAAAGCTTTTTGTTTATTACTTTTTGTTGTTCCCATGCATATCCAAACCCATTTGAATAAAGATTGTTTTTTACATCTGTTGCCCAATTTGTGTGCCCTACACTATCATAATGAACAAGCATTTCATAGCAAAGTTTTACATACCTATTTCTTGGTAAATCAAGCAAACGTAACCAATACTTAATACATCGTTTTGCTGAATAAATATGCATTGGGAATCTGCCTAAATCACCTAATATTGCATCATTAAATGCATTTGTTTGTACTTTTAAGACTCTTTTACAGGCATAATTTTGTACAATTTCTATACACTGTGGTTGTTTCATTCCCATAATTCTGCCCCATATAGCAGCACAGATGAAACCTTAGAGTCAAATATTTTGAAAAATGTATTTGTAGATAGACATGAAAAACTTTGAAATGAACTAAAATATATACATAAGGACTTTTTTGGCCTTAACTGACATAGCTTCAGCCATCTTAAACAAAGATAGCCTATTTGTAAAATAAATTCCAACATAATTAAAGCCATTAACTATCTCTAAATTATTGTTTGCATATGACCATCTCTCTCTTCTTGCCACACATCCACCCTTTTTGAATACAAGAACTTTTGTTTTTGATATATTAACAACTAACTTGCTTTCAATGCAAAATTCATGTAATAAATTTAATTGTCTTTGAAGACCTACAATAGTGTCCGAAAGGAGAGCGATGTCATCTGCAAACATTAGAAGAAATATTTCCATAGTATTTGGAAACAGTTGCAAACCTTTTACATTGTTATTACATAAAAGTGTATACAATTCATTGATAAACATGTCAAAAAGAATCGGACTTAAATTACAGCCTTGCCTTAATCCTATAGGACAGGAGAATACATCAGTACAACCATCATTAGTTCTAACACATGCTTTTACAGAGGTGTAAATAGCCTTTATTGACTTATATAAATGTCCTTTAACTCCATGATCCCTTAAAATATCAAATAACTTCCAACGATCCACAGAATCAAAGGCCTTTTGAAAATCAACAAAAGCAACATATACAGTTCTGCCCTTCATATTTAGATACTTATTTACAACTGAATATAAAACGAAAGCATTATCTATTGTTGAATAGCCAGCGCGAAAGCCTGCCTGAGATTCAGTTATTTTATTGAAAGCTTCTACATAAAAAGTAATACGCTTAGTAATAATTGAAATATATATTTTACTAAATACATCTAGCAAGGCTATACCTCTATAATTATTTGGGTCATTTAAACTTCCTTTCTTATGTATTGGAATAATTATAGATTTGGCCCATAAATCTGGAAATTCACCTTTTGAGAACAATCTGTTAAACAATTTACATATAAATGGTAGTAAAACATTTAAACCATAAACAAAGTGTTGTGGAACAAGAGTGCACCTGTTGCTTTATGTAAATTTAAAGCTTTTACGCTTTCAATGATTTCATCATATGTAATACAGGAGTTAAAAATAATATTTTCAATTTCATCAAAATTTTCATTTATGACAGTATCACTTCCTGGACTAATTTCACTGGAACTGGAAGAAGAGAACAATTGGTTAAAATGCTCATACCAGTCATGTAATGATACATTTGGAACTGATTTCGGCCTTTTAGACAAATTTTGCAACTCCCGCCAGAAGATTTTTGATTATTAATTGAATTTTCCATTTTTGTCAAAATATTTTTATTATAACACAATCTTTTGTTTTTACATAATGATTTGTAGTTCTGTTTACTAAGTAGATAATTGTTTAAGCTGTTAGCACATCGTTTTAATCTGAAATCATTCAATTTCTTTCTACAATATTTCTTGGCCTCTTTACAGTCTTGATCAAACCACTTTTTATCTTTATTAGCAAATTTCCTTTTAATATTATAAAATGATTGACTACTAAGACAAATTGCATTTTGTAATTCAAATAAAATATCATTTACATTAGACTCTTTATCATCTATCAATTTATCAGCTGTATCAAGGCACCCATTTAATACATTTTCAGTTATACATTGCAAATATTCATTACAGTTGTTTTCATTTAGTGAATAATAATAATGAATATAATCATTTCCTTCTTTATCATTTGATATATAATTATCTGTCAGTAGCCAAAGGCTTAACGGTAAATGACTACTTTCTACATTTGTCAAAATTTCAAATTTCTGTACTTTTTCTAAAATATTTTTAGAGACAATAAAATAATCAATTGTGCTACACCCATTTTGATTGACAAATGTGAAATCATCACCCCAAATCGCCCATTTACAATATAGCATGAATATACTTTGCAAAATTCAATCAACTCTTTTTCCAAGTCTATTAATTTTTGTGTCTTGAGAAAGCCTTTGCATGCCAATGTCACCATCAAGAATATCATTATATTCATTCAATTCTGGAATATTTGTATCCCCTAATGTATAATCAGCTATACAGCCTGTTCTGGCATTAAAATCTCCATTTATCAGTAACTCATAGTCTAAATAATGATATGTTACTATAAATTTCTTTCAAGTTGTTGCAAACCAGAGCTAAATATACAGAATAAAAAGGTGAATTCTCTGGGGGAACATACATACATACATATAAAACATCTTTACTAAGAGAAAAAAGAGACTTTTCAATCAATAGCACCACACCAAACTCAAAAAGTTCACATACACGTTTTATATAAGGTAATAAGTCATTTTTGAATGAATACTGAAACACGCCCATAGGTCTTCCTCCAGCACTTGATCTTTTTGCATTGCAACAAAATAAGGTATAGTCTTGAAATTCAGTTTTTTGATAGTCAGAATCTTGGTCCATGTTTTCTTGTAGTCCAAAAATATCAAAAGATGATAACATATCTTTTATTGTATAGTTACACATTTTAGATTTTAAAACTTTCTATGTTCCATGTTAGTAATTTAAGTGATTTACATGAATGTGCTGGGCTTTGACCTCCATCCTATCTCCTACTAAGATTAGGATCATTGCTGCTGATTTGCTGACTTTCAATAACACTAGGTCCTGTCTCCATGATATCTTGATCAGTTGGGCCTATGTCATTTTGATGGTCGACTTGACGAGAAGCTCGCTTGAAAACTCGAGTATTACCAGTGTATTCAGTACAAGATTGAGGCTTGTATGTATGCAATTTCCCATTTCTAAAATAACCTTGCAAACCACCCTGCTTTATCTCCTTCAATTGTTGGCGTTGTATGAATGACAAGTCATTGGAGATGCGAATTCCTCTACTACGCAGGACATCTCTATACTTTAATAACCTGAATTTATCTTCACTATTCGCAAAAGTCGTTATTACCATCCTGGCACTTTCATCCGATTTTTCCCCTATTCGTCTGGCAAACAATATTGTTTCAGAAGTTAGATTAACTTCATCACTTCTAAATACACTAAGAACTTCATCAACTATCAAACCTTTGAGTGATGTGTTATCTTCCTCAATCTCTTTCAGTCCAAAAATTCTCAGCGAACACTTCAGCCTTTCCGATTCAGTTATCATCAGCTGCTTTTCAATATTACTAAGCCTTTCCTCACGTTTTTCTTCCGCCATTGATAAGGAACTTATATCAGAATTCACTACATCTTGACTATATTTCAACATTTCATATCCATTTTCAATTTCTCTGACTTTTTCCTCTAGATATTGCTGATTTTCCTCAATTGTAGTAACTTTTGACCTGATCATGCTCATTTCAGTTTTCAAATATACTAATTCTGATTTCATACTTTTTAGCTCAAACTTAACATCTCGTATTTCATCTTTTGTTTCAGATATAGCTCTTAAAATTTTAAGTGTATTTTCATCTGTCATAGATTCTTGTCCATTTCCAGGTCCTGGATTTTCCTCAACATCGGCTGATAAAATTAATAAGCGTTCAGAATAACCTATGTATTTATTGTCATAATTATTGGTAAAGCAGTAGTATGTATGCCCGTTCGATGTGGCTAGGGAAGTACTTGTGAGGCCTATATATGTCTTCTCACAGGACACTTTATTATTAATATGTGGCAAAGCATATTTTTCTATCAAATAGCAGAATCCTTGTGATAAAAGACACCACATTGCCACAGTGCATAGCAGAACTGTACAGCATGCAACAGCTCGTAGATGGATGTCACTACCCATGGTGATTACCTTGTACTTTCTAGCTTTTATCCTTTTCTTTGTGTGTCTCAAGTTAATATTAAAAAGTCCAATTCTGGCTCTATATGAATTAATGTCAATCCCCATTGTTCCTATGTGTTCTGATGTGTGAAAATATCAAAGGCTTTTCCTAGTAATGACCATTCACAACCTACAAAAAGTCTTCAAAACATTTTCCCATTTTGAAATGTATTGTTATATATACTTTTACAGTTAGTTTTACAGTTTTACAGTTAGTGAATACTTGTCCACTTGATAAGATTAACCTGATTATGTAACTACACAGGTATACTGGTATACAGGTATACAGGTTATAACTCCACTATTGTTATGTCTGAATAAACTTGATGGTATTTATACTCTTCTATATGTTTATCCTGAACTTTTATCAATAAATTACAAAAAACCTATATAACACTCACTATCTTTTTATAGTCCATCACAAAGTCCATTTTATAAGTAACATCCACATATAAATTTCAACCACAAAAATGTCCAAATAGATTAATTACAAGTATTATTTGGCAGAGCCAACAAAGCATGTGTTATCACCTTGACTTCACACTTCATCTACAGGACTTGGTTAATCTAACAGTCATGTTGTTGTTCTGTTTTAAAGAAAAATGAAATACATATACATAGCATAGCAATTGTACTTTCTCCGGAAGTTACACAGCGATTGTATTTTTTTTCCGGAAGTTACATGTAAACTTTCTTGATTTACTTGAATATTGACCTTTCAGGAATAATTGATTTATATCTAATGTTATTTCATTGGTTATGGTTTGAAAATAATATCAAATCTGAATTTTAAGAGATGTCTGTTCACAATGATATAGACCGAATAAATTTGATCATTCCCGATCCTTTACAATGATTGGAAAGTTCGGAAATATCCGAAAGTTAGGACGTATAAATGCTATACTTATGTATTTAAGATTACCTAACGCCATTTTAGTAAATTGTGCCAGCTAACAAGCATGGCGTTAGTAAAATATATCGGTAAAATGAATTTCCTAAAACATAGTTTACATAACAAAAAAAGAAAAGAAAAAAAATGCATGCAATTATAATTATTAAATATACTGGAATCGCAAATCTGGACAAGCCAGGAAGGCTTGTTAGATATTGTGTTTTTTTCCCAAAATTGTGTAGAGTTTACATCGAGAAGAAACAAGAAGTATCTTTAAAAAAAAGTTACTCCGCCTGATTTAACTCGCATATGTTCTAAGTTTTCCAATCATATATAAATGTTAGCATAGCTTGCATAACAATGACATAATAATTTCTTGTAGGGTTATTAATCTTGAAAACTGGAATACTGTTAGATGTATTATGTTTCTAAATGAACTTGTCGTGCTTAGGTAAGTGAACACCAACATCTGCGCAGTCGGTAGGCAATTGTTGTTATAAATACTTGATTAATATGTAAAGATATATGAAAATTCTAAACATATAAAAATATATGAATTGAACACACCAATAATCATATAATATATTAGAAACTTATTGAGCATCATAAACCGAATGTACCTGATAAGTTTTGATATGATTCTCGTTATTTTGTGACGAAAATTTATTAATAAGAAAGGTCTTGTGTACAATAAATAAACTCTGTACATTCTCATGTAACAGTCGAAAATGTAATGAGATCTAAACGCATATATATGTACTGTGCTTTAAAAAAAAATGAAATTTGCTCGAGTATATATATATAAAGAGAAAGAAAGAAATCGCCGAAGCGGCAATGCCAATGACCAAAAGGCATATAGCTGCCAGGATTTTATGGGCTAGCACCATGTGTTTTATATAGCCGTAAAAAACCATTTCAAGTCCTTGCATGGATAACTTGCATTGCAATAAGAATAATGAGTAAGTCAGAGTGAATCGCGGAAAATGGTGCTTTAAAAGAAATTTTGTAGAGTTGATAGAACACTATCTCAATTTTAAGTGGCAAAGCCAATGCAATGCGGTCATCTGTCGGTCATGATTATTTTGCTAGCGCTTTGTCCTTTATATAGCAAAACTGTAGATATTCCATGCTTCTGCACTAATTAATTGTATTGAAATCTAATCACGGTGTGCTCATGGATAGTCGACTATTTTCATATTTAATGGACATTGTATAGATAAAGAACAAAACCACTTCAACCATAGAACACTATGTTTTTTTTGTAGATTTTAATCGCCAAAAAATCGATTGGAAGTGGCACTTTTAAGTTGTTGTTAAATACATACTCAAATGGTACTTTTATGTTTCTTTTCAAGGAGTTACACCAACATTACGTGTATATGTCTACTTCCCAGCCTTTTCTTTTTCAGACTTTTTACCGGCTGTTTGTTCCAATCCCGACAGGGACTTTGGATTCTTTTAAATGTGAGGATATTATCCAGCTAGCTTACAGAACATTGGTGGTTCTACTCAGGTGTCCGTTCATGCCTGAAATAATTCAAGGAAGGGCACCTGAGGTCTTCCTCTACCAGTTAAGCTACAACGTCACCATATGACCCATATGTGTCGGTGTGACTTCAAACCCAACCAAACAAAATTTTTTTTCAGACACACCATCTCGTTTGAGTAGAACCACCAACAGTATTCATGTTAAAAAAGAATCCAAAGAGACTGATGCCATTCTAAAATTGTATCTGCTAACATTTGATAAATATCGGTAGAAAAAAATGTTCTAAAACTAGGGTAACTATACATGTATATATTTTATTATCACAATCTATCTTTTTTAAATATCTGATCAACACATAATTTTCCAGTGTAAAAATATTTTGGAATTTCAGAGATTTATATTACGCATTTTTATATTATGAGACACATTTCAAACATCAACATGTTTAGTAATACTGTCCCTGCCTTTCCTTTTATTTACAATTGGAATAATGAAAGCCATTGCACCGGCTAGATACGTCAACGAACCTAATAAATGGTAAGACGCAACATATGATCCGGTGACGTCACGTAACAAACCTGAAATAAAATTTAAAAAAAAAATAAACTGAAATAGCTTCCAGTGGCCAAGGTTATAAAGAAATTCTCCAAGCTCAAACTCATGTCTAATGTATTTGATTGGTTAGAAAATGTCACATAATGTACATTGACCAATGAAAATCCTGAGATTTGAGACTGAACTCAGAAAAATGTTTTATAACCGCAAGGCCAGGATCTATGTCGATGTGGCAGGGGATGCGACAAAGGGTATTTAAGCTTAACGTGATCATTGCAAAAATGCAGCTTATATCTTCAAAAAGAAAGAAAACAAACACAAAATCAAACAAAAAAAAGAAAATAAATAGCAAACAAACCTGTCTGTACGGAAAGATACCAATTACCAGAAAAGAATATAATTATGATTAGAGCTACACAGGTTTTATTCCAGAAAGTCCTTAAATCTTAAGAATGACTTATATTGTTACTATCAGTAAAAAAAGTTAAGCATTTCTTGGAAATAAACAGTAATGACGCCATATGAGGACACATGGTCGTAACTCTAGTGCTATGAATGTGAGCCTTTAATACCTAACAGCAGTGTCAAACACCTTACAACAACTAAGAATGTGTTCCCTCACATTATTCCCCTCAGTTGACTTGCTAACCTTCTTATATTGAAAATGAGGAGAGGAAACATTTACAGTTAAAGGAACTCCACTAAGGTCAAAAAGCCTAAAACATAGAGATTGAAATTCTTGCATTCATCAATGCCTCACTTAAAACGAAAAAAAAACTTCATCAGATAATAAAAGATATAGCCAGATTTAAATGAAAAATCGATTTTTTTGCACGATTTTAAGCCTATTTTGCACAGTTAAAATGAGGATTATGGGAAATTGGAATTAGGGAATGACTTGAAATGTTGCGCACAAGTTATTAGACAAGACCAACATCAAATGGTGCTTAAGTCCTAAAAAAATGTCCTTTCATGTAAAAATACGCAGTGGAGTTCCTTTAATTCGACGCCAACGCCATTTGCATTGATACCTGTAACGGGAAAGAATATTGCAATAGTTGCTCCGTGTACGAGTTGCCCAAAGCCTAGAGAGCTTTTGAATTTTTCTGGTCCTATCACCTCCATTAATACCACCCCAAAAAGAGACATGTACTGGCCACAGCAAATACCTGCGGTTCAAATAAGAACTTGTTTTATAAAAAAAATATGAAATTAGTCAAATTATAACGACAATTAGAATTAATGTACGGAAATCGATTCATGTTAACCAGCGGCGACAACTCCTATAATGAAATCTTAAATACTATAAGCATTTAATTTATATATTTACTTGTGTTAAAAGGAAACTTTAGCATTTCAATGATATTTTAAATGTATCAGCATTGACTTTAACCACTGTAACTATTTATGTGTGACAACCACTGTAACTATTTATGTCTGACAATTTTTAAATTTATATGACATTTTAATACTTAAATACACTAAAATGCATATATAGGACGGCATACTAATACAACATGAATGTCTGTGATTTTTGTGTGTGTGTGTGTGTTTTGTTGTTATTGTTGTTGTGTTTATAGTTTTTGTTTAATGTTGTTGCTGTTATGTGCGTGCGTGCTTACGCGCGCGCCTGGCCTGTGTGTGTATTAAAAACTCTTGGTCTAGTGTCTTTTTATATATAAATGTATGAGATTTCTTACCTACAACAACAACAAATACCAGCAATGAAGAGAACGAATTAACGAAACGTAATAGATGTGACGTTGTCCCCATTACTATAGATACTATTACTAATATAGTCGGCGTTCTAACCAGTTTTCTATCCGCTATGACACCAACCAATATTTTTGATATCAAGTCAATTACCATCGTGAGAGATATCAAAAGTCCAATCTTTTCATTACTGATGCCAATGTCTTTTGCATGAGCCGGCATAAAGATCGGGACCAGGTGTAATCCTGCGTGTATGGAAAATGCCATTAAGAGATAAGTTATGAAAACTGGATTTCGTAATAATCCTAAATCAAACACAGTACACAAGACAGATATAAAACATGACTTTATATTTGAGCCGCAACCGACCGCTGCTTCAGTTGGTTCAATAATTTCTTTTTCTCCTTTATTATCATGATCTTTTGGATGATTACTTATATTTCCTGGTTGCATATCAACATCAATCACTGAGCCGTACATGCCGTTGCTGCTGGCGTATAGTGCCACCTGAGATCTTGATATAGCGTCAATCACTCCTTTGATTGGATTCTTTCTATGATGTAAATTATTTTCGCTATCATATCTTTGATTATGCTCGGAAAACGTCCTTTGTCTAATCCCGACAGAATAAGCTCGCACGCGTTGAAGCAAAGGTGACTCTTTAGACTGATGATCAATGAATTTTGGCTCGAGGGTCTGCAAATGGTTAGAATCATTTGATTTGGCTAAAGGATGATGTTTTTGGTTTAGTTTATTATCTGAAAGAAAGAGGCCTGCTTCTAACTTTATTCCATTTAGCTTTAATGCTTGCTTGTCAAAATTGTTTTTAGATTTATTACTGTCTTTTTGAAGAAGAAGTTTGTCCTGTTCGGTAATTTCTGTTGCTTCGTCGATAAATCTCTTCTTTTTGTGGTAAGTTTCTATGGGTCGCAGGACAAGAGCCGAAACGCAAATATTCATAAGTAGACCAGAAAATATTAGCATGGCACCGGTGAATTGATATTCCTCAAATATTTTCACAATGATAGGTGCAAATATAAGGCCTCCAACTGATCCACCTCCATTGAACACACTATTCGCAAGGCCCCTGTGTTTATAAAAGTAAACCCCAATAACTGCAAGCATGGGTGAGTGGATCATTGCCAAACCAATACCTTAAATAGAAAAAATATCATTTTTACTAACATTTTCAAAACGTAAGATTTTAAACAAATTTTAATGTATGTCTTCTCCCGAATATGTGAGACATTGTTGTGTAAACTTACATAGATTTCAATACATCAATTCTTAATGAAAATACTGTGATAATGTATATCTTTTTATATAGTCCTAAGATGAATTGGAGAATCTTTTCGCAGTTTTCAGATTTTTTGACACTTTTATTACGATAATGATATTATAACGATACTCCTTCTATAAGAGCAAAAAGCCAATTCAACAAAACCCTTGCACCTTGTAAGGTTTGAATAGCTGCCTAAAAACTTGTTATGTTAAATATGTTCACATCATATGATTATTGCTGTCCGTTAGAAAACATCTACTATTTAAATTGCGACTCTTCAGCTTTTAAAAGTTTTTAGCTTCTCACCTCCGTGCATTATTTCAGGCAGGAGCAGAAACCCGAGTAAAACCATCGCATTTTACTTAGTATATTTCACATTTTTTCACACATACACGTATAGTACACATATATAACATATTTTGGCAAGATCGCTTTTGAAAAGTGAATGTGGAATTACTCCATCCGACCTGATTTCGAAACAATAGAGCAAAACTATTTACAAATATACTATTAGTAATATAATAGCCTGATTCAGGCATTGATAGTTAGTGCCTATTCATACTCGTTCTATTTAATTTTCGAAAGAGCAACAATTGATAGACTGGGACCCAGGCTAGTATATCAAGTGATAATTACCAAATTTTATAAAATTTATTTCCTTTTCCAAAAGTAGCAGCCATTTTTTGGGGGGGAGGGGGGGGGGCTCTCAAAATCCTATATGATATAATTGATAAAATATGCAAAATAATCAATAAAAACAGCTGATTAAATTCTTTTTTTATACATATGAATTACCATAGCACCATTATGTTAAAGATTTTTTATCACTTTTCATGCAGATATTGGAAATGACCGAAAAGCCAGGGGAGGTAAAAATTGCTATGTGAAAAACATCTATACCATATTCTTAAAACGTATATAATCACTTACCACCGAGTACTCCTTGAGCAAAATAGAACACTCTGATGTCGGTAGCAAAGCCTGTTACCATGTAAGCAGCAACCGTAAAGCAGCCACCAATAAACACTGCAACACGGCTACTGAATTTCTTCAGTCCGACGGTCATTACGAAGATTACTAACAAAGATTAAAAAAAAGTAAATAAATACCATTGTTTTAACAAAACTTAAAAAGAGTTATCATATGTCTAAGAAAATGCAAAAATTTGTACATGAAATTGCAAACACATACCGGTATATAAAAAGGAGATGGTGTACACTGGAAGCATCAAGCTAGAGACAGGTTAGCCTGCGCATCCAGAAAGCAGGTTTTGTATTCGTATTGAAATGCCTTAAACGTAAAATGGTCCGTTCCAAATGTAATGCATGGCAAATCCGGCATGTAAAGAGTTAAATTAAAATTCAATTTAATGTTGCACAAACGGATGCAAATCGTAGAAAGTTTAAAGAAACTTCACTGAGGATTTACACATGACTGGACTAGAAATAATTGTTCGCAATTAATATTCAATTTGAGGTAAGTCTAGAAAACTTACTTGTATGCAAAATATTTATCTTTTTAATTGTGAAAAATGACCCAACACTGAAAGTGTTGCCAAGCTTTTTACTCAAATCGGACAAATACGATGTTCAATTCATTTCCGAGTTATTTCATAGTGGTGGTGATATTGGTAGTAATCACTCCGGATCACAGCAGTAAGCCACCTTGAATTTACCAGAGCACAGTTCAGCTGGGCAGGCTGTCAGGCAGTTTACCAGTACTAGTAGACTTCACTCTCGCACGAAACTGTTACTTCTGTACATGCCAGAGCAGTGGTACAGTGCGAATAACCGTAGAAAGGATTTCATGATCAATCACAACGGAAGTGACCGGCATCGTTCAGGAATCGAACCCGGGCAGTCCGATTCACAGTAAAACGTTCTACCTATTGAGTTAAGCGGACGGCGATAATATATTACTTAATTATCGTTTGCATATTTTATTGCTTTAAGTGTTCCAGCTGGTCTACATAAGAAATTCATTTTTTTTTGTTTTCAGGCTTTCGGACCTCAGTGGAGTTCCTTTAAACGATACAACTATATCGCATCAAGTCATGGAAGTACTTTTTATATCATAAGAGCTCGAACCTGTAACACTGAGGACGACATTCTGTATGAGACTCATTAGTGCTGTTTCCGAGGCATTGGAGTTGAACCTGGTCTGGTACTGAAGGAAGAAGACACCCAGAGATCGCAGTAGACCGCCGTATATTATAATCTCAAACACACATGCTGTAAGTAAAAGGGTATAAATAATTAAATAATTTTATCATGTTAAAGATCGTAATCTCAAACACGCATGTTCCTGTTTAAAAACAACACATGGTTATAAAACATATCTATAATACTTCAAAATATAAAGAAAAACGGTAATCTAAATTAAAACAAAAATTGTTTTAAAACTAAATCGAAATAATCAAAATTTTCTTTCTTTTATTTTCAATACATATAGTAAATAGGCCACAGACTAATACTTATATATGGCTCTTGTGGAGGTGTTGTATGAATGACCATAGAAAGGATTTCATGATCAATCACAACGAAAGTGACCTGCACATTCTGGGAGTCGAACCCGGATCGCCAGATTTACAGTCCAACGCTCTACCTATTGAGCTAACCGGACGGACTCATAAAATTAATTATTTAAATGGCTGATATGTAATATGTTGTTAAAAATCTTCGACTGCATGAATTTTCAGTGAAATTGTTATCTGTTAATATAAATATTTTAAAACTATTGCCTTTTTTTTTAAAAAATTTAGACTCCAGAGTATATGTAAATATAATTATAAGTATATATTATTATGTTATTATTAATATTATTTAGTATTATCTCTAATATACATGTAAAATACTTGTAATTATAATCTAGACAACATGCCATACAAATATGATATTTAAATTATTATTCATTTTACGGGATATACGGAATAATATAGCCTGATTGAGATAATATGTCTCAAGGCAGTTCCTGACGGTATATACGGCATCGTATACAAAGTTTTTAAGGCAATCAAATTCCGAGACATTTATTTACATTATTATAGATATTACTATATATTAAACTAGATTTAAGATAAGTCAATGATCTGATCGCAAACGAATAAAAATATTGACAGTAATGTTCTAAAATGATTTAACTGATTTCAACGAATACTGCAAAACAATAAAACTTCAACTTCATTCAGCAGACGACTTTTAAATTAATATCACGTGACCATAGAATCGGCACATGACTGCAAAACAGGGGCTACTAAAACTACGCCGTCTGAAACTGTTTTAAGTTGAGCAGAAACAAACGTTCGGGAAGAAATCGAATGAAACCAAACTTATTCAAACTGAATAAAATTTTTAAGGCAAAGGTTGCAAGCTTCCCTTAAAAAAATACTGTTACCTAGAGGCATAATAATATGCATATATTTTTAAGTTTCTTTGTCCAATTTAAGCAATTTATTAGCGAAAAGTAATCATTCAATAGCATATACAAGAGAATACATATCACAATCAAAATAATGATTCTGTATTACATTAAAAAATATATAAAAAAATACTTTAAGCAGCGAAGCAAAGGGGGCAACTGTTTAGGAGGTCGTCTGTAAAGGGGAAGAACTCTAAAGAGCTATAAAACGAATTGAATTAGGGGGAGTATTCGCGTGCACACTTGTAAAATGTTTTGATGTTTACTGAATATAAAAATAAATGGGAAATATATTCGTCATAAAGCATCAATTTATCTTGCTTTACTTTGTGTTGCAACAATGTATTATACATTATTTATGGAAAATAACACAGACACTTGGGATGTGGCGCTCGAAACGCATTTAAAATCCAAATAAAATGTATATTTGTCAATCCCATCAAATGTACTTATCGTAAAACATTAAAACTTAATATAAACTGTATTTAAATATGATTTTTTTTTTCAAAACAGCTTATATTAAGTTTTAATGTTATATAATAAATTATGATAAGTACATGTGCTGAGATTGACAAATATACATTTTATTGGGATTTTAAATGCGTTTTGAGCTCCTCACCCCAGGTGTCTCTGGAAACAAACTCGCCATTAATCGTGTTTTAGAACGCCGGGCATTGTTTTTATCATAAATCAATAAATGATAGTATATTTATATTTACACAGAAATAATCATTTTAAGCTATGATATTTATTGAGAGTTTTTTCTTCATTTCATTTTTAATGTTTGCTTTTTCATATATCTACATAATGTGATTACGCAATAAATGTTCATCTTATTAATAACATAGAAAATGGTGTGTTTTTCGTGCAAACTCTTTATCAAAACCTTATGTTAAACTCAAATATTTAAAACATAGGGTCAAGTGTATTCCAAATCAGTTTCAGCTGAACATTTTGTCATATTGCAAGCCCTGTCAATGTACGCGTTCATGGTGGCTGTAAACAAGGAAAAACATTTCCCCATGCTTTCAAAAATTAAGCTAGCATATTTCTACAGAATATATCATGTTAATTATTCCCTCAAAGCTATTATCATTAATGATTTGGAAATTTTCCAATATTTTACACTATCGTACGGTAGAACCTCAAAAATATAGACCACCTCAGGACCGGCCACATTTTTTTTTTTTTTTTTTTTTGGAATGTTGGTTATGCAGAGTTTCCATGATCACTTATGTTTATGGCCGATATTTCATGGATTTTTATGTTGACAGTCAGTAAATGGTGTTCATGGTATTTTTGTATCTTTGACTTTACATCTCTGACGTTGGTTTATATACACGTTATGGTGGATTATAGTCTTTCAACGTGGTCTACCAAATGCGTTTTATTTATTTAAATGTTTAATATCTGTAGAAAAGTTAATATCTGTAGAGAAGTTAAAACGACTAACTGCATCCCGACCAGGATGATTCTTGCTGCTGTGTTCGAAGTCGTTACCGAAGTTGAATAGAAAGAGCTGGAATATGCGGTTTTCCCTAAAATTTACTTCCTGTATTTCTATATAGATTGACAATGATAAAATTTGCCAAGTAAATAAGTGACAATGATCGTTGCAATGTTTCGTGATTGAACGGTTTTATGAAAGTTTTATAATACAATGTAATCAAGGCAATTTAGATCTGTCGCTTTATGCATCACTCACTATATGACGTAATGGATTCTATTCTTTTTTCTTTCTTTTTTAAATGTCGTCAGACTTATCATAATGCTGCACTGTTGCAAAGAAGTCAAAGGGGACTTGGGAAAATATTGTGAATTTAGAATGAGTACGACTATTTAAATGGCAAATGTCATAACTTCATATAAATATATTTTACGTTAAAAAAGCTGAAATACTTTAGAAGAGGCACAAATTACCTTTTTTCTTAATGTCAATGAACTATTTAAGTATGTAATATAAAGGAATAATACATGATTTCCTGATTTCCAATTGCGAAAGTATCACTGGCAAAATGTTGATAGTATGCGCAGTAGTTATGTCAAAAGTACTAAGCAGTCCTATTGAAATATTTGTAAATGCATATAATGACACGGATGATCTTAGGTTTCTGGCCGATTGCCTTGATAAAAAATCAAACAGAGTGGACTGCACGATTGGAAAAGTATGGTCACAATGATCAGGCGATGAATCGCCAACCCATTGGCAGATTGTGGAAAATTTGGGGTTTCATTTTCCCAGGGTTTAACAGTACATGTCATTTATGATTAACATTTACAATTTATTTAGACGATTACGGTCTATGCCTGTGCTATGATTATTTTCCTTCAGCCTCCTTTCAACATCAACTATTTTAATTGTCAAGATAAAGATAGTTTACAAAGCATTCTTAGATTGTTATCTTAATTAGCATTACGTTTCTGTACATCGTTCCAGTCTTTCAACTCACATCATAGGGTTTTATCTATACAACGAACGTCATGTCACATTTCTATGGTGGATGATTTGTGCTATGTCGTATTTTCGGCCCGCGAGGCGCCAGACAAAAACAAGAAAATACGACAAATTCAACACTTTTTCGTACTTTCGCTCCGCAGGTCGCCAGATAAAAACGCGAAAATTTGACAATAACAAAGTCACTAGATTGCTGTATCTTCACCCCGCTGGGGGCAAAGTGAAAACACAATGTTCGACAATGTCATCCTGTCTTCGCCTGGCACCCCGCGGAGCAAAAGTACGACGCAAAGCCATCACTTTGCCGTATTAACGCCTCGTGGAACAAAATATTACATGGCACAAATCAGACACCATAGATTTCAGATAAACGAACGATTTGATTACATACATTAACTAAATCTATAAGATGATAACAATAGTGGTTCGAAACAGCGTTTTGTGTTTGTGTAATTTTTAAATGTCTCATACATCAAACTGATTCTGCGATGACTTTTTTGTGGGCAAGCCTGTGGAGATGTTAAATACTTGATGCACATATTAAACTGAGTCGAGAAACATCAGTGAACAAATTGATATTTTTGAAGAAAACAGCATGTTTAATGATATCGTGGCGGTTAAGTAAAATGAATTAGTTTAATTATGATAATCATTCATAAAAAAATGTAACCATTTGAAGTGGCTCATTAGATATTTATCATATTTTTTTGGAGCATTCTTAATTTTTTTTGTAACTAATGGAAAAAAGATATATGTATAACTCGTACAATGTGCACTAAACCCTGTGACACTTTTGTCATATTTGATCCTTATTTCAGTTATGTGTGTAATTCTTGTACGTAAGTTTTTTAGTGGAAAATATTTAACTGCCCTCTAGTTATCAATGAAATCTTTTGGGTAGAAATTTATTTTGCTTTAACGAAAATAAATCAAAAGTAGTGTATATTCTTTTTTAAATTTTATTTCACATCTTTTAAAATATAAACAAAAAACTTTAAGCGTATAAACCGCGTGATGCCCCACTAGAATTTAACAATAATCAGATCGAAACCTATCAATTTAGCCTCGTTTCCATTTCCAGAGTAAAGAAATCCGTATCAAATGCATATCATACCCCATATAGCCTCGTTTTAATTTGCAGAGTCCAACATATCTATATCAAACCCACACACATCGTACTCTATGTACTTTATCTAGACCCATTTTTCAGCGTCCAATTTTTTTGTTTTCAATTCCTAAATATACTTGAACGAAAAAGTAAACAAACACTGAAATAAAGTGGTTATTAATTCTGTTTAAAACAAAATTGATTCTATTGAACTCGTACATAGCTGCAAAGCCTATTTATGACCTATATCA